GGGGAGGGGGGAGGGGACTGTAATTGCAGATTTTTGAGGTAGAGTGTAGTTTACTAATCCCTTGATCTTAAGGCTACATCTAATTGCTTTGCGTTTGTATAAATACATGGGAGGTACAAACGGTTTAAATGTAAATTCTGGTTTCTTTTTGTTTCAGATTTGGCATTTATCTTGTTTGTTTGTGAAAAGTAAAATGGTTTGCCTCCACCTGATATACCAGAGATAGGACAAGGATTATTTGCTTGGGAGTAGGATAGGGAGTAAGATTATAAGGTTTTTTTTTTTATTTGAGAGAGAATCGAGGTAGGAATAGGACTATAGGAGGAAGATAGTGTAAATTTTACATCAATTTTTGAGATGCAAAATTTACATTACTAGTAAAAGCAAATGAGAAAAAGAATACAAATTTTGTATCAAATAAAAGTATAAATCAAAATGAGTTTTGTATCGGGTGAACATAACCTAAAAGCAGTTGGAAATTGGAATAACCCGTCGATCGAGCTTGTTCTGATCGACTTTTTTTTTGTTTTTTTCTTTTTTTGGGCGTTAGAAGTTGGAAGTTAGAACCAGTTTTTGGTCCATTTCCCCAGCTTTATTGCGGTTTCAACTTTCACGTGTCTATCGTCTACAAAAAAGTCTCTTCAACGGCCCAAGCATACGATAATAATCAGTCAAAATGAGAAATTAATTAAGCATTGGCATTAGGGTTGGGGCTGGGGCTGGGACGACAAGGTGAAGTGACCCACGTACTTTCCTTGTTTCAGTCCGGGCCGACCGGGTTGATAAAAAACCGAATAAGATTTGTGTTGACAGGGGACAAATAATTGGTACATGATGATAATGTAATTCATGAGGTGTCGGTATTTACGATACAATGTGAATTCTGGACGTTCTGCGGATTTAAGATGCTGATGGAATCTTGTGATCAAGGGCTTTCAGCCTCACGATAAAATAGTTTGAATTTTTTTTTCCTTACTATGTCTGTTTTGGTAGGAATAATTTGTTAACCTTGAGTTTTTCTTTTTTTTCTTGATAGAAAAATCTTGAGATTTTTTTATAGAAAAACCTTGAGTTTGATTGACCACCGTTTGTGCTTAGCTGTCACAAAAAATGCTAAGCCGGTCCTGGTTGAGTTCAGCTTCCGTCAGTGCACAGTCCATGCAAACAGTCTTTATAGCTTTACATTGAGAATAATTTTGTATTAAACGGTATAAATACGGCCTTGCACTGACTGAAGCCAAATTAGCCATTGGCTAATCAAGTTTCAAACTAGCTAGCAGCTAGGAGCCGGTTGGAGTTGGTTTAGATGCTGGGGTCGGCCCAAAAATGATGGTCGTCGAGACGGGTGGACCAAGTAATTAGCATTAGCATTGCTTGTTAGGAAACGGGATGGGCTAAGTTAGGCACGTGGTGGGTCCCCCAGTTACCAATTTGCAGATTGCAATACGCCCTTTGAGCCCTTTTTGTCTTCTCTCTCTCTCTCTCTCTCTCCGAATCAATCCCAAAACTTATCTCACACTCAAAAGCCAAATTAAAAGACAAAGCTTATTATTCCCCTACATTTTTATAATCCACACACAACAGCACAGTAAGAGAGAGAGAGAGAGAGAGGTGGGACCCCAAACCTGAAGAAAATGTCATGGACAATGTTGAGTGGTGGAGTGTGAAGGCAAATGGTGGTCGGTTATCCTTGTGAGGTAAGTGAAGGATATATCGAAGCACAAGCTCTGGTTGAAAGTGAGAAAAGTTAGAAATGTTTGAGGAAGTTGTGGATGTGTTACAAGGAAAGACCAACCAGCTTGTCTCCCAACACAATCTAGCTAATCTTTTTTTTTTTTTTTCCTTTTTTCTCCCTTTCCCTTTATTATTTCAGTCTACGCCATTACGCCAAGATGAAGATGGTCGCGCCATACAAATTACACATCAGGAGGCTTGTCAACCTGAACGAATAAACCTTCAACCAGCCTGAGACCTACTGCTTTTCAGTCTGATTGTCACACCACGTGACAGCGTGCTAAAAGCCCAATTTGATGGAAGTGGGACCCTATAAGGCAGAAGAAACGTGTAAAATACAATATAAATGAAGCTCAACCAATGTCAAGTGGGAAGCCACAAAGTGTAACTATCTAGGCCACCCCAAACGGTGCCAACCCATAATAAGTAGTGGTATACGTGCATCAGCCACAAAATGATGATCCAAACGCCATTCTGAGTTCGTACGCATCACTCTGCTCTCTGCTGAATCTGGGATGAAAGCAAAACGTCAGAATTCACATCTGCGCCCCACAGAGGGCACCCCACAAACGCCCCCACAGCATATCCCAACCGTTTGTTGAAAATATCTCACACTGACAACTTCATTGCAGGCTGAGATGTGCATGTGGAACTTTTGTGGGGCGCAAATGTGATCTCAAAACGTCATAATCGGGAGCAAGCAGCAAACTATCGTGCATATCCTTTAACGAATTAACGCCCCTTTTCTCATTTTTTGGTTCTCTATTCTTTTGGTTTTGTATTTTTTTATTAGGATCTCACCAGCACGGATGTGACACATTCTTATCGGGAGTTGGGAAGCTTTTCGGTTACCCAACTGCTTATCCATACTTTGATTTGATTCAATTGGATGGCCATGTGGTGGTGGTGGATACGATTGCTCAAAAGTCGATAAGCTTTCTTTAGGTGTCCGATCCATCATTAACCAAATTGCAAGCTTACTCCTTCATTTTCATCAATTTAGGATATATAATTCAATTTCTTTACTCCATTAATCCGTCACAATATGTGGAGTGAACTATAATTATTTTTAGGGAAACTAATCACGATCGGTTCATTTACTTCTCTGCCATATTCATGAACGTAGAATGACAAATGCAGCAGCCTAATTTGTCCACGTTGAGAGTCCCATCCGGTGAATTGTCCATATCCATGTATCATGTATGAACCCACTTCATACATGTGCCAAGGCCCCCCACCTTGGTAGGGTAGTAAGCATCAAGTACTAACTATATTAAGCTCCACACGCCACTGGATGAGACAGTTGATTAATACTTCCTTGACATGCACCGACCAAGTCAGACTGTGCCAGCATTGTTATTCCTCAGAGTCAGTGGTGCCTTCTCCCTCATTCCCAGGGAGATTGTAGTTGGGTTGAGCCTTAAAAAGACAGGACGGGTACTACTCAACCAGGACACTCTTAAGACAAGCCGACTCTATAAGATGACAGGAACTATTTTTGATCCGTGGGGACGTGCTACCCCCGTCTTGTCACTTGTGTAACCCCTTCTGGTCTTATCCAAAAAAAAAAAAAAGGAACCATTTCGATATGAGCAATTTATACAGTACTGGACCGGTCTTTCGGGCCAGGCCCATTCAAATTTTAACAAATCTTCAGCCCGAACCCACCAAATTGCACCCCGGCTTAAAGAGATACATCTTTCACATTCCACTGGTTGCAATCTATTCCTAAAATACTACCACAATATGTTATTTTGGTAGATATGCACAAGCCCAACTGTTGTTAGTTGTTACAGAGAAGTTGCTGCGAAGATAACAAGTATTCAAGAATCCAAGGGGAGCATAAAATTACCATTATAAATTTATTTACAGAAGAAATCTTTGACCTATATTTAGTTACAGAATAAATCAAGAACACTTCACTAGAATGTAGTGCACCTGTACAACTTATTATTACATTTTCTGTACAGTTTTTGTTGTTGCCAGCAGCAGTACAATCCGATCACACCAGCAATGCAAGGGCTCCCTCTTGAGCAGCTTTACTTAACTGCTTGGCGAATGGTGGAAGCACAATCCAGTGAAACCAGTTTGTCTGCAAGTGTTCCCACCTACCTGTAAAAAAGGAAATCTTAACCCAACTAGTTTAACAAATACCCAAGCATACCAAAATTTCGTCCTGAACAGATACAACACAATGAGAAAGGTTGAGAAATGAGCTCATCTAAGGTATTAGTGATGTATAATATCTTGGTGTAGAACGTGTAAGCTAATCAATATTATGCATGTTGCACATGGTTAGCAGAAAAGGAAGTTTCAAGCTTTAGCTAAATAGCCAGGAAAGCAAACCTTTCAGCTATTTTACAAGCCTGGATCTCCTGAAAGCAAAATTTATGCTCACACTCTGAGAGCACATCATACAACCACACATCAGCAATATCTCCCATAATTGTACGTTAAATTCATGGGCTATTCTCAATGTGTGGCTGGACGCCATGCTCTCAGGACATTGCACCATTTTTGCTTTCAAGAAATCCCAATATCTATATTACAGAGCAAATTGCAAGTCTGATATGATCACAACGTAGTCTATGCCAAAATAGAGTAATAAAATTGGAAACATAAGCTACAACTTCAGCGGAATATTAAAAATGCACAAGAGTTCTTCATGGTGATCCTTCATAGATTTTATCATAGGTTACTCATCAAAATGTAACACTTATCACATTAGTGATTTATTATCAGTCATAAGTAAGTTCATTATGCTAGGGGTTATTCGATACCACAGCAAGTGGCTGAACTGAATGACTTATTGCTCTGTCTCTTAGTGCACAAAATAATTAAATATTTAAATATACAATGGTAGAGTAATCAATCCAACTTCAGCTTCAGTCATTCGGAGCCTTACAGCCTCTTTAATAATTTTCAATAAAAACTAAAGAATAATAAGTCATTCAGTTCAGCCATTCAGCTGTTATCAAATAGCCAGCAAGCCTAATTTATTTAAACATACTCAGCAAAGGTATTTTATGGATGAGAAACCAAACATATGCTTTCGCTTTTCTACTTGAGTGAACCAAAACACTCCCCCCCCACACACAGCTCAATATCGAAAGGGCAACTTTTTTGTAGGATAAATAATTGCTTGAAATAACCCAATTAACGAACAAATCTGAGAAGCGGAGTCTAAAAAATACACTTCCCTTCTTGCAGAGAAACAGTTGAATGATAAAAAGAAAGATAAACAGTGGCTAATAGTCAGCAAAAAATGAATGTGGAATAGCGGACATACCCAATAGGTTTTCATCATGACTTGAAGAGTGTTACAGTGGCAATATACCCATTCTTCATAACCTGGGTAAATTAATGGAATAAAAATGTTATTTAAATCTTTCACCAGTCACATGGAAAAGAATAGAACAACGATTATATATTTCTTTTTCTTTTCTTAAAAAAAGTATAAACCTCAAAAAAGAACACCTTTTTTATTTGGACGAAGAAGAATAAAATCAATTGGCAATACAAGATTGCAGGTGTAAACCTAATTTTTACCTCAAATGCAACATTTTGATATCCATATACAAAAGTAGATCCAAAGGGGTTGCTTGTGGACCCTTGCGTTTGGATTGCAGCTCTCCCACACTCCCCAAGGATCTCCTAAAATCAAGTGCAATTCCAGTTGTCATTATGAGAGTATGGAAGCATTGAAAAACAGACACCAAAACAAAAACCAGATGCTACACAATCATAAATGCATGTCACACAATCATTAATAAAAGAATAGTCAATTAGATACAGATTTAATGATCTAACCAACAAATGTTCTAAAATAAATATGACCAGACTAAAAACAGAGTTAAAAATCTAGGTCATAGAAATACATTTTTGTGAAAACAGAATTACAAACAAATTCATAAATTGATGTTTGTGAATAATCAACCAGACATGTCAAGATCAAAGATGCCCTTTCAATAGGCAGAAACATATGAATTTATCAAAAAAAAGGCAGAAATATATGAACATATTTACAGAATAACTTTTTCCATTATGTAGTTAACCAATGCCAAAGCTCAGCTATTATTGAAGGTGCCACTATGTAAACATATGAACACATTTACATAATAACTCTGTTCTGGTTCGCTCGCTTCACTTGCTCACCAAAGTTCCGAGAACCCCCTATTTGCTAATGTTGTTCATTCATTCATTTATTCTAATAAAATATCTTCTCAAAAAGCAATTAAAGTTATAAAATCAATATTTTTTATGTGGGAATTAAGAATCTAAGACCCTGATTAGAAGAATTTGGTTGGAAGATTACTCGGGTTTTCTCTGTTCTATAAAAATTAAACAGGGAGGAGAATTTCCCGGAGAAGAGAGTTTGGAAGCCTGTTGCACCTCCTAAAGTAGCCTTCCTGTCATGGGCAGTCACTCTCGGAAAATGCCTGACAGAAGATTTACTTGCAAAAAGGGGACTGGTGGTGGAGCCAAGCAGATGTAGTTTATGCAGGACAGCTTCAGAAGATGCAGAGCATTTATTCATTCACTGTAAGCTTGCTAGAAAGATCTGGTGGAAAGCTTTGGGGGCTGTTCGATGTTAGTTTCTGTTTCCCAAAAGACCTGAAATCCCTTTTGTAGTGCTGGCAGCTCAAGGGTCTGTCCAAGAGAGGGAGAGTATTGTGGGGAGTAATTCCAGCAGCAGTGATTTGGTCTATTTGATTGGAGAGAAATAGGAGAACTTTTGAAAATAAATACAATACAGAGAATAAAATTTGAAAAAAGCTTATGGAGCAGAATCTACTCATGAGCTGCAATGCATAGACAGGTTGTAATCAGCTTCTCAGTGTCGATTTCTTTTTGAGAAGGGCTTTGTATATTTTATTTTTGCCTTTTATAATGCATTACCTTTCTCTCAAAAACAAAAGAGTTAGTAAGATCTGAGATTCTTCTCCATCAAAGAAATGACATTATAATGAGAAAGATGAGGCACGCGCTCCACAAAATAAGTTAAAAATGATGATAATCATGAAATTAAGGTTCAAATTCCAATATTCATCATTGTAGGCGCAATCTCCTCTGCATGTGTACCACAGAAGAAGTATGTATTTGATGAGAAAAATGTTTACCTTTACTTGTTCCCACTTTGTGCTTGGTGTAATACAATGCTTAGAAGCATTGTCTTCCTGAGATTGACTCCCACCAGAACCATATATGACAAAGTTGCATTTGATATATGAATTGAAATCTGCATGACCAGGATAGTTTGTATGCAAAACAAACTTCTTGATTTTATGAGTCTGCACATTTAGCAAAACAGTCTGAAAATTTGCAAGGAAAGATATATAACATGCATGATTATAACTAAAAATAGCATCACTAGAAGAAGAGAAAAGAATACCTGCCCATCAAATAATATGTCCAGGCCACGGTTGAAATAATTGTAAAAGTAATCACCACAAAGAGTTGTTCGCGGACGAGGGTCTGATGCAGAGTGAATCACCATTTGGTCAACCTGCATGACATAAATGGTCACCATCTTGTGGGCCACGAAATCATAAGAACATAAACCATTTAGAAGGAACCTCTCATGTTACCATGTGTGAACCCCATGTTCTCATCCCATTCACATGGCTTAAAATGCCCAATAGTAAAGACTATTGAAAATAAGTCAGGAAAGTGGTGCACTTCAAATGATGATTTCAAAATCTTCATGCCTTGACCTCAGCACTACTATAGTTTTTGTTGTTTTAACCCCAAGGATCTAACTTTTCTTCTTAATTCAGCTCTAAGTTTAATGTAATTCCAGATAGGTGGAGGATTTCCAATTCTAGATAGGAGGTTCTTTATTGACGGGAAGGAGTATGCTGAGAGAGCATTCAAGGTGTTGGAGAAAAGGGAGTGCAGAAAACCAGGAAACCAGAGGGTAACCAAAAGGAAAGATTAATCATTGAACTGTATGGGGAACAGATGAGGAGGAGGTGCAGAATAAGACCAAGGATTGAGTACAGAGTGGGTGATTTTGAGACCAAGAGAGGGTGAGACATAGAGGAGAAGTGAAGCCTATCTTCAAAACCAAAACAAGACAGAAGCAATCCTAAGATTATAAGAGGGAGAAGGGGAGAAGAGGAAAGCAGCAAAAATTGTAATGACTGGCAGTATGTGCATGTTAGGAAACGAAGTGAGTGGGGAAAGGAGGCAGTTGCTGGTGATGCTAGAATGTAGATTGTGTGGTGTTAGTAAGGAAGTTCTTTGAGTGGGTAACAATTTATTCTGCAGGTTTAATATTTTTGTAAATTCTCAGGTCACAAAGCCTACTAGATTTTCCTTCTTTGCCTTTTTTTCCTTTTAATGAACTTTTTTTATTTTATATTAAAAAAAGAATGTTTCATTCATTCACTTACAATATCTTGGAAAATACTATAGTGCAGCCAAAAAAATTGGCTGTCACAAGCAAGCTTAACCCACGGTTCTCAAAGATGATTGGCTCAATTTTGGCTTTATGGTGTGGCAAATTTTTTTTCTCCACCATGGTAGGGACTCTAATATATTTCAAGACACCAAGTAGATGAAAAAATTACAAGGTTGACACCTTATTGTAATATTAATGCTATGAATTCATGTTAATGTGTCTATTGTTACATCCTACAATATACTATATATTTACCTATGGTTGGTTTTACTGTTCTACTGTTGAAATGTAAAAAGACCCAAATATTGAAGAGAGAAGAAGAAAGAAGGAAAAATAAAGATAAAATAGAAGGAATTTTTGTAATTCCTCGTATTTACAGTAATAAATCAAGGTATGTAGCTATTACAGTACAGCAGCAATAGCATCTAGAAATTCCAACTACGTGTAATTCTTATTTGTAAAGTTTACAATTTTCTTCACTTGCTAGTAGTTTTTTTATATGAAATTGATCTATTAAATAAAAAGTTGCAATGTTGTGTCTGGATTCTGGAAAATTAATAAATTTAATAGATTTCAAGTGCGGTCTTCTGAAATCTATAGTTGGGATAAGGCATGGATGATGCTATCATTATTTACTTTTTCATATGAAATTGATCCATTAAAAAATGTTTTTATAAGAAGCGTCATTATGTAGTAAATAGCATTTCTATTTTTAAATTTATATACTTGTGGTTGGCATTTAAAACTAAGGAATTAACCTAGAACTTAGCCTTTTCTTATGTCAGATTCAACCTGTGGGTGCCTTCCACTGTACCTATAATCATCAATATACCTTAATAACTAAATCTAAATTTTTCTTTGATTTGTAATAAAAAAATTATTTAGTATATATATGAAAATATTTATAGAAGATATTACACCTACGAAAGATCCTTATAGCTTACCAAACTCCACAGAGAAAACAACATCCTGATGAAATACAAAACCACTTGGTCAAGGCCATTAATGTCCTTCAAGGCTATAATCCAATCATCCATCAAAAGGTTAATTAGATCATTTAAACAGTCTTTAAATTGTTTCAAAAGTTTCTGATGTAGTATTTCAATCAAATCATGTTCATAACCTAACCTCCCAAAACCAAGCCATGCTCATTCCGCACCATAAGGAGATGTTGTTGGTGAAATCAGGTGCTTGCTTAAGGATTCTACACCAAGCATTAAAGCCATAGTCCATATGGATCTGAGGTTGGCATTGATTCCTATCCATGCTCTACACAGAAGTACCAGGTAACAGTTACACATCTCTATATTGCAAAACTTCCCTATCTCCTTTATTCACCAACCTAATCCCATGTCATCTCTATCCTTGGAAGTGTACACCTTTTCATTCCACTAGATGATATTCTTCTCATCATATTGACCATCTCAAAGCAAGTCATTTTCTTTCATCCACCAAATCCTAAGCAGGAAATAGGGATAAAAGAGTAGACAAATTGCAATATGATTACTATGACTCGGAGCCCCCCCCCCAACCAAAAAAACAAACATAGCCCTTGATCAGTTGTTAGTTCCTAGTGGAAAAAATATCCCATATTAGGCCTCAGAACTACCTCAAAGCAACCCAAGGTACACCTCAGGTGTCAAAGTGATTCATGTTTGGCATGACAAACACAAGTATAGCATCATTTATCAAGTGTAGATGAGAAACTAAAACAAACATAGCCCTTGATCAGTTGTTAGTTCCTAGTGGAAAAATATCTCATATTAGGCCTCAGAACTACCTCAAAGCAACCCAAGGTACACCTCAGGTGTCAAAGTGATTCATGTTCGGCATGACAAACACAAGTATAGCATCATTTATCAAGTGTAGATGAGAAACTACGGCGGATCCAGGAGCTATTTGATAAATAATTTTAACTACATCAGCCTTTTGTACCAGTCTGCTAAGAGCTTCCACCAAAATTACGAACAAAAAGGGGAAGATGATTATTGTGTTGTCTCCTATTCTCACTATTTTTTTGAAGGACTCCTATTCTCACCATCAAAGAATCCTTCTGAAGCTCCATAATTAAGACACAAAAAGGGCAAGGAACATTTATTCATTTTATCTACTTAATGCAAACCCATACTTCAAATAAGATGGTCAATAACAATTAGCATGGAAATATGCTCCCTAAACATGTCATGATCAATAACAATAGGTTCTGCTTGTTTTCAATATTGAAAAATGGGAACCTAAAGGCTGTTTCAAGGCTAGTAGGGGCCTAAGGCAAGGCTGCGCTCTCTCCCCCTTAACTTTTTACAGTGGTAGCTAACATCTTCAATTATTTGATTGAGAAGGCAAAGGACCAAAATTTGTTGAAAGGCTTTGAGGTGGGGAGAGAAGAAAACCAAGTTCCCACCTACTTTTCACAAATGACGTTATTATTTTCTTGGAAGCAGACTGGGATAGCATCTACAGCTTGAAGTGGGTGATTAATTGCTTTGAAAAGGTGACCGGGCTTTAGGTGAATTTTTCAAAAAGTAGTTTTGTGGGCATAAATGTAAGTAATGTTATTCTGGACAGGTATAAGGAGGTGCTAGGGTGCAAAGTGGAAAGGCTTCCCATTTCCTATTTAAGGATGCCTCTTGGCAGAAACCTGAGAAGCCAGAATCTTTGGAATCCAATGGTCAAGAAGTGTGAAAAAAGATTGGCTACTTGGAAGAAATGTTATCACTCAAAAGGGGGCATGCTTACTTTAATAAAAGCATCTCTTGCCAACTTACCAACTTATTTCCTTTCTGTGTTCCGAGTCCCGGTTAAAATAAAAAACAAGATCGAGAAATTCCAACGTGATTTGTCGTGGGATGGAGGAAGTGAAAAGAATTGTCATTTAGTAAGGTGGAATCAGATTTGTAAACCTAAGGAGGTCAGTGGGCTAGGCATTGGTCATATTAAAGAGAGCAATTTAGCCCTTCTTGTGAAATGGCTGTGGAGATTTCCTATTGAGACAGGATCTATTTGGACTTCCATCATTAGCAGCAAGTATGGGAGGAATGCAAATGGACGGGATAGCAAGAATGCAAAATCCACTTGAACCAAGTGACAGTAAACAATCCCTAGAAAGGTATCTCTTCAACCTATGATTTATTCATTGCTTTTATTAGATATAAGGTGGGATATGGGAATAAGATAAAATTTTGGACAGATGTTCAGTGGGGTGAGAGTTCCTTAGCCATTGCATACTCTCGAATCTTCAACCTATCTCAAAACCAAGAAGCTACGATCTCCTCTTGCCTTACCCCCTTCACCCCCAGAAATTAATTAGAACCTAAACTTCAGAAGGCCCTTGAGATGAAATTGTCAAGATTGCAAACATTTTACATTCCCTTAGAGAGGTTTACCTATCTCCTAATACCCCTGATCAAAGAGTTTGGACACCTAACCCTGCTGGAAAGTTTTCAACGAATTCCATTTCCAAAGCCCTAGTGTCGAATGAACTGGACATAGCTTCCCGTTTAAGAAAGTATGGAGTTCCCAAATTCCTCAGAAAGTTTCTTTCTTTGTATGGGAGGCATGCCTAAAGAAAATAAATATGTGTGACCTGTTAGCGAGCGTTGGCTGTGCGCGGGTGTGCGAGCGCAGGCCTGCGTTTGCGGGCGTGTGTGTGCGGGCGTGCGTGCGCTGGCGGGCATGTGCGGGCGGGCGTGTGCGTGCGCTGGCGTGTGCGTGTGCGGGCATGTGCATGCGTGAACTGCCAAGTGTGGATGTGCTGTGGTGCCCCATGGTGTGTCATGGTGCAAGTGGTTACTGTGGTGCCTCCACGTGCGGTGACCAATATCAGAAAACACTAAACTACCGTGGTGTGTCATGGTGCAAGTGGTTACTGTGGTGCCTCCACGTGCGGTGACCAATATTAGAAAACACTAAACTACCGTGGTGTGTCATGGTGCAAGTGGTTACTGTGGTGCCTCCACGTGCGGTGACCAATATTAGAAAACACTAAACTACCGTGGTGTGTCATGGTGCAAGTGGTTACTGTGGTGCCTCCACGTGCGGTGACCAATATTAGAAAACACTAAACTACCGTGGTGTGTCATGGTKMMWGTGGTTACTGTGGTGCC